TAAGTGCTGTCAAGTTGGTTTCGATCCATAGCAACCCTGTGTAGGGTTTCCAAGGAGCAGCTGGTGAGCTTAAACCACTGACCTTGCAGTTCAAACTGACTTTGCAGTCCGGCATATGAACCCATAGCACCACATCATTTCAAACCTACCAGCCATTCCAAGGGGAAGAAATGAGGCTGTCTGCTCCCATAAAGATGTACTGCTTCAGACACCCTATACAGGGTCATTATAAGTCAGAATTGACTTAATTCCAGTGGGTTCCTTTTTAGTATATATAAAGTGGTGGCATGCCGTTGAGTTGTTTCTCACTCAAAGCAACTCTACATAGTGTTTTCATGTTTGTAAGCCTTTAAGGGTACAGAAAGCCTTCTCTTTCTCTCACCATAAAACTTATAAAACTTCCTTCTAATTGCTTTGGTATTTATATAAAGATGAATTATGTGCCCATTTCAGAAACATTTGCATGCTCAACTATAAACTGGGCATTGCAAGGTTTAAGTGATGGGCTTTCAAATGGTGAACAAACTATAACTTCTTTCTCAGAGGATTTGATCTTATTGGAGAGCTGAGACATTAAGTACTCCGCTGCTAACTGAAATGGTTCACCAGCAGCTCCATGAGAGAAAAGGTCTGACAATCCACTCCTGTAAAGATTGACACCTTCGAAAATCCTAGGAGGGACTTCCGCTGTGTCATACAGGATCACTATGCATCAGAATTGGATCGATGACACACAAGGAGGAGAAGAAGACATGGGTATTTTGTGAATATCAATATGCAATAAAGTGACTATCACAATAAAGCAAATCACATAAATTGATGGTTTTCCAGTTCATACAAAAGTTATGCTTACACTATAATGTAGTCTATGAAATGTGCAGTAGCATTGTGAAAAAGTTTAAACTATTGCGAGAATTACCAGAATGTGACAAAGAGACATGAAGGGAGCACATTCTATTGGAAAAATGGTGCCGATAGACTTGCTCAATGTACGGTTACCACAAACCTTCAGTGTGTAAAAACTGAGTATCTGTGAGATGCAATAGACTCAAGTATGGCTGCATTATAAAATACAGAAAGTGAGAAGCGATGTAGGAGAAATTCAGTTAAAAGATTTTGGAAGTTTATCAGGAAAGTGGTAGAAGTGGCCTTTGAGCCAGTCCAGGAGATAAGTGGACTTGCGCTATTCAAGGATGTTTGGGCTACTGAACAGATTTGCCATTCATTCCATAAGCTTTTACTGAGTGCCAGCTCTGTGCCTAAAGTTAGGGAAACAAGATAGAGCTCTTAAAGCTTACTGTCTAGTGCAGTGGGGCATCTTTACAAAAAATTACAAGTATGATTGGTAAGTGTTATAGTGTGGCAGAGGATACAAGGGGTCGAGATGAAAGGTGAGCTTACTTTAGAAGGAAGCGTCTTTGAGGCTCCTTTTGGCACAGACTTCATCATCGGTTATTGTGTCAGAGCCTGTGGGAGATCTACTTCTGGAAGTTTGAAGCTTATTCTGGTTGTACTTGTGCTGACCAACATTGCAATTAAAATTGGCCTACATTTACAGTTCGTCTACGCCACACTTTTCCTTCCCTCTGACTTCACCGCACCGCAGTCCATTTGTTGAGACAGTGCACAGAGCCTAGGCCTACAATTGGCAGGATCCCATCCTGGCCCTCATCAGTGAGGGATGGAAGCAAATCACTGAGAATGACAGGATTTTCCTCAGTTTTCTTACATGGTGGAAGGAATATCAATAACACTCTAACTCATTCATTTTACAGATGAATGTTCTTGGAGGCAGAAAATTGAATGGCTCACCTGGGGCTGCACAGTTAGTGGCAAAGCCCCAGCTGGCTTCTGACTCTCCTGTCCTGGTTATTCTCAAACCATAGCCTTATGCTTCCCCTGCTTCATGGGCATAATAAGAGCTAAGACAAGTTGCCCAAGTTGTCCTTGGTCGTGTAGAAGCAACAACTTGTACTTTATCCATTTCATCCCACTGCTAGAAATTTTAAGTTTACAAATTTTAATTAAAAATTAAACTGAAATAGTAACAAATAGATAAGAAATGAAAAGAGAGAGAAACTTGGAACGAAATCCTACATCTGCCACCTGCCGTATTCAGGATCTTAGACAAATAGCTTGATGTCATTCAGCCCACTTTTCTCATCTTCATTTAGGGGGCACCATACTTCCTGAGCTTGGGCATGTTATGAACATTCAGCAAATAGTGTTTTCTTTCTCCTTACCTCCTAGAGCTCCAGGTTCCTCACAGGGTTTCTTTTCTTTATTACTGAAGCTATCTTACAAGACTTGAGAGAAGTAAATGATGGAATGAAAAAATAGTTATAGAAGGATCCGGTGTCAATCTTAATATCATCATTACTGAATTTTCACTTACATGTGATTGAGTAGATAGTTCAAGGGTTTTTTTCATGGTTGTTCTTTCTACTTTTCTTTCATACATTATTTTATATGCTCTGTGGACATGTTGTGATTTGGTAAGACTTAAGAATTCATGCATTTTGTCTGTGATTTACTTTTAAATAATTTGTCAAATAAACAGAGTAAATTATTAGATGAAGTAAATAGGACTAAACATTAACAATTGTTGAACATAGCTAGTGGGTTTATGAATGCACATAATACCTTGTTGTCAGGTGCCATCAAGTTGGCT